CGAGGGAGAAGTAGAGACAAAGCAGGAAGATGAGCAGGAAATCCATCCAACAAGAGCTACTCATGGCCACCAGAAGATAGCAGATGGACAAGACAAAAACAAATTAAGCCCTGTTGCTATGGGCAGCAAGCAGGGTTAACTTCACGTAGACCCTTCTAGAGAGGTGCTCCTCATTGAGCCACCACCAAACAAGACCACACAACTCCAAGAAACACACAGCCAGCATCTCCCCACAGCAGTACGAGCCTTCAGCAGAAGCCTTGGGGTGAGGTCATGGGTCCACAGCCCCTACTGCAGGCAGCACAGAAGCTCCATAGGGATGGCCAGGATACCAGAAAACCCTCAGTGAGATAACTGCTCTTGTCATGTGCATGGTGGTGGGAGTCTCTACAGCACAGTACTCACTGCTCCTCCCTGCACAAAAAGATGCTCAGACATCCCATAAGAGCACCACAGGAGCTGGAAAAAGGGGACAACATGTTGTCTCTCTCTCTTTTTTTTTTTTTTAAAGGAGCTGTGGTGTCATCTTGCTTTGTTTTTTAACATTGCAGCCTGCAGGCAGGAGGACTCTGTTGCCAGGGAAACTGCTGCAAAGGTGCACAGGGCTGCTGCCCACAGCAAGGCAGGGAAGTGCCTGCTGGCATCAGGAGAACCCACAGAAGCTGCCCCAGGCCAGGATGCAATGCAAGCAGCAGTGAGACAAGCAGCTGCTCCACCTCCCCCAGGTTCACCCCTTACTCTCTTGCCCACAGAGGAGGACGAGGTGGAACAGCACCTATTTATTTGTCTTATTATAAAGGAGGCTCTACTCTTTTTAAAATTTTCTTTTTAGATGGCTGCCATCAGTAGAATTATGGTTGCAATTTACAATAATCTATTTGAAACAAGGGTTTGATTAGTTAATGCACTTGTTGTTGTTCTCTTCTAATTTGATCAGGAGGGAAGTGGGAGGGCTCCGTTTGCAGGCTGCAGCTCTCATGCTGTGTGCAAACAGCAAACCCATCCCTGCTCCTCACCTGTTTCCACCAGGCTGCATGCACACCCTGTTGCATTCCAGCAGTAGAACCAAGCAGAAATTTCAAACTTGCTACAGCCAGGAGGATCCCAAGTCTCTCTGATCCATAGCCAGCCCCATAACTTTCCAGGGGTCAGCTGAAGACATCGCAGGGATGGAGGAATAAAACAGCACTGGGGCGCCCTTAGCTGACCCCTTGGGGGTTACGGGGCTGGCTATGGATCTCTTGTAGTCTTTCTGCATCCTTTTTCCCTTCCTGCTCATTCTATCCCCATTCCTTCTCCACCCACCTTTCCCCATCCCCGAAGTTCCATGCTGTAATTCTCAGCACCGTGTACCAAAGAAACCCTAGACAGAAAGGCTGTGGCACCCTCCTCTGCTGCTCAAAGTGGGCAAGCTTGCACACACTGTATTAAAGGGAGAGGGGGAAAAAAAAAACTTTACAAATCCATCTTTTTAAGGACTTTGTACATCCCACCTGCTCGCAAGGCATTCTTGGGAGAAATCTGGATATTGCAATTGACATTACCTGGTGCAATAATTAGGAGCTGTATTTACAGCCATGATACCATTTTAATGCTGTTTTGCATCTGCTGTGCCTCCACTTAGAGAGCAAATGTAGTGGGGAACATCTGTTTTCCACTGCTATCTGATGTGACAATCCCCGGCCAGTGATTTTACCTCCATTACAATGGGCTTTAATTATTGCAATTACTGTCACAGAGCGATGTCCCTGCAGCAACAGGTACAAGGCCTGGCCCAGCTTTCCAAGCAGATGACATTGCCTAGCTCTGCTTTTTATTTCACTCACTGCAATAACACATGGAAGAAAGGAAAGTTCTGAAGCAGATGTTGCTTCTGCTTTGCATGGAGGTGCCATCATCAGCCCAGGAAGCACACCTGGGACTTTGTTCCCCACAGCCAAGGTGTTTCTACATTCACTGACACACCAGGAGATTTGAGGCAGTTTATGTTTTTCTCAGGAGACCCAGCAGGATGCAAGGATCTTGAGGGTGCCATCAGATCTCCAGACCACACTGCACAATAGATCTGTTACTTCCTGCAAGGCACCTTCCTTAGCTCCAATTATTTGCCCTTGTACTCGCATAACCACTAATTAGAGGTTACATTAAGTCCTGCCATAAGACTACAACTGAAGAACAGCCCAGAGCTCCATCTGAACAAAGTTGGCACCCCAGGCCAACCCTGACATCAGTGCTCTCTCTCCCAGTACCTTCAAGAATACTAAAAAAGCAGCAGCAGTGACCAAGGAAAGTCATCCTCAGTCTCCTGGCTGAGCATCTTGCAGCCCAGCACCTCCCTTCCTATTCTCTGCTTATAGAAATTATTATTGCAGAAGAGTTTCCCACCCAAACCAAAGCCGAGATCACTCTGATGGTTCCCAATATCCCCTTGCTCCGACACCAGTTTGTCAAAGGAAGAGCAACTGACGTTGTCTATGTGGAATTTTACAAGGCTTTTAACATGGTCTTGCACCACATCCTTATCTCTAAATTGGGAAAACATGGATGCGAAGGCTGGAGTATTTGCTGGTTAAGGAATTGGTTGGATGGCTGCAGCCAGAGGGCTGTGCTTAACAGCTCTGCAACCAGGTGGAGGGGGGGGTCACAAGTGGTGTCCCCCAGGGGTTTATGTTGGATTGATGCTGTTCTGCAATGACACAGATAGTGGCATTGAGTGCACCCTCAGTGGTTTACTGATGGCACCAAGTAGAGTGGTGCAGAAACAGAAAAGATAGCATTCCGAGAGATCTGGACAGGCTTGGAGAGTAGGCACGTGAGAATCTGCTAGTGTTCAAGAAAACCAAATGCCATTCCATGATTCCCCTGCAAAACACCTCCACACCCAACACAGAGGGACTCGTCCTCCTGCTGAGCTGCTCTGCCATCTCCTTCTGAGCAGATTTTGGTGACATGTCAGCACTGGGCTAACACGCCAGGGAAGTCACTTCAAACCAGGTTTAGAAGTACATTAGCAATTCTCCACCTGCTGATTCACTCGAGGAAGGGCAAATGCTGTGTCATCTGACACACAGCAGGGGTTTGGAAACAGGAAGCCGCTGGTCATTCCTAGACACATCCATATGAATATATATAGTACAGAAGTGTACATGTGCATTTAGTTCAGTTTTATCTTCCCTAACACACACCAAGAAATCTTCACCACCAGAGGGCTCCCACACCTCCTCCCACCCCTGGCTCCTACTGATTTCTCAGTCAAACCTCTCGTTGGGCAAAGTGTTCTTATTTGGCACACCCCGACGCTCTTGTGTACTGGATCTAAGCATGTGATTCCCCTCTTACTGCATCACTGAGAGTCGAGCATCCTTCAGCCTAGTACAGGGATGGTGGTCTAGAAAAATGGCATCAGTGCAAAGAGACCTTTGAGTCACCACAGTGACTGGCTATGAGGACACGGCCCCACTCATTTCAGAACGACAGAAACAGTGCTATGCCACAAAAGCTGTTAGTAAACAGGAGCAGCTTGAACTATGAAAACCATTCTGGCTGAGGAGAGTTAGGGTCATGTAGGTTTCTCCACCCATAAAGCCAACAGAAGGCTCTTAGTTTATTTAGGTCAATTAACTTCAGCTTTCAAATTAAGTTCTCATCTCATTTTACAGACAAGCTGTGAGCAAAGCATGGGGGGGGAAAAAATAGGGGGGAGGGGGGTCAGCTGAGGAGAACACAGTCCAGGATTTCCAGACTTAATTTAAACCCAAAGGGTAAAAAGAAAATTGAGATCAGAGAAGAGCACAGAGCACCTCACAAGTGCTTCCATCCTTGCTTCTTCTCTGCTCTGTTCATTGAGCTCACAGGCCAGGAAAAGGCAGAAAGGAGCGGTGCAGAGGAAGCCATTTGTGGTACACAACAACACATTTTATTGCTCTCACGCACCCGAGAATGATGCTTCACATTCTTGAGTGCCATCTACTGGCATTTTTATCTCTTTGCTATATATTAAACCCAACCCCAGTGCTGAAAGAGCAGTCAGGTTGCAGTCAAGCACTTGGAAGTAGAAAAATGCCAAAATCTGGGCTGTGCACCCAATCCTGACCCCATCCCCTCTCATAGATCCATCAGAACACATTGCCTAACAATGGCCACGCACCACTTCCTGCATGAAAAAGCCCCATCCGCACACCAGATGGATAGTGCTCTCCTAATGAGCAGCTATTCAATATTTTTCTTTATCCTCATCACTCAACACGTAGCTCCACGTCCTGTGCATGGCATGCAATTGAAGTCCTGCTCTAAATAATGAGCTATTAATTTTCTCCTGGGCTTTCCCAGCATTTATTATTGTAGCATCCGAGTGGTTTGCAAACATTAATTTGCCTCACAACAGCCCCGTGAGGAAGGGTGGAATTATTCTCCTGCAGATGGGAGACCGAGGGATGGCCACAGTGAAGCCAGAAGGGTTCAACACACCCCAAAGTTTGGGGTGCAGTTTTTCCAATAGGGAAAAGGCTTGAATCCCATTCCAGGGCTGGTGCAGCCATTCATTCTGCCCTAATGGGAAACTGATCACTATTGCCATTCTGCTTCATACATCCAGCAGAACTGCAAGACCATTTCAAGGTTCAAAAATCATTATTTTTTGTATTCAGAGACAGCAGTACTGCTCGTTTGCATCATGACAATATTACATTTCCTCATTACTTTCCATCTCTTCCACCTCTTCAGATCTTATTTGCATTTTTGATCAGACCCGAGCACCGAGGAGATGCCTGCAGGGAGATGGCTGTAACAGTGCCCAGGTCTTTTTCCTGGGCTGAATCAATTAATTTGCACCTCTAGGAATAAAATTATTTTTTTCCCCTGCAATGTGTACTATCCCTCCCAGTTTTCTTTGGTAAGAGAGGGGGAGAACCAGGCTTTGAAGTGCAAAGTCATATGTGTAAATCATCATCATCATCTGCAGCAAGAGCTGTATGCTGCCATCCCAGGTGGGCACACCTTACCTGGGCAGGAGGGGCCACGGCACCAATCTGCTCTGCTCATCCTCCCTGTGGGTCCACAGTGCTCAGCCCTGTAGAATATTCAATGGAATGCTCAGTGAGACCAAACCACTCCATGTCTGAGCATCAGGCCAGCCCCACCACCCAGCATCTGTCCATGTTTTAAGCTTCTATCTCACAGCTGGAGGCTGCAAGATGCTTCACAACACCCCACTGTGAGGTGAAACTCAGGGCAGGGGCTGCCTGCAGGTCTGGGAGGCATTTTATTGAGTCAAGGATCTCCAGCCCAACTTCTCCCTGCACTGCTGCAACACTCAGAGTTGTGTTTTATCCTCTGTTAAGCATCATACTATAGCAACCTGCATGGGAGTCCTTTCATTGACTGAAAGTGTTCAGCTGGCTATGCCAGCCACACATTTTCTTTCTCATATCATAGAAACATTACTGTCAACCAACCCCAGTCCACCCCCACCATGCCCACACCCCTCAGTGCCTCATCTCCTGAACACCTCCTAGGATGGCGACTCCACCATCTCCCTGTGCAGCTGTGCTGAAGTCTCATTACACCTTCTGAAGAGAAATTTCTCCCAGTATCCCATCTGAACCTCGCCCAGCACAACTTAAGGTCCAACTCCATTACCCAGGAGCAGAGATCAACCCTCACCTCACCACAATCTCCTTCAGGGAGTTATAGAGAGCAGTGAGGTCTCCCCTTCTCCAAAACACGGCTTCTCTTAACAAGAGATTAAAATAAAAAAAAACCACACAAACCAAGAACACAAAACCAACATACCCCAGTTCCTCCTTCTAGGAGCAATCAGTCCTCACCTAACACAAACACTGAGTGGCTCCCCTCTACCTACAGCCAACAGTGACTCTTGTAGTGACCAAATTAGTACCGAGCATTATGGGCTGGATGACTTTCAGCTGTGAACACTGCTTGTTAACCTCACATGCTGACCATTCCCTTTTTGCTATTGCCTTTTTCCACCCCGTGCCATGCTTCCTACATCACATCACAACCCCCATCTCCCAGCTGTGTCCCAGGGGGCGTGGATCCCCAATCCAAGGGACTTGGCTTCCCGATCTGTGCTTTCACAGAGATCCCTACAAACACATCCCACTTATTTGCACAGCCTTTCTCCTGCAGATCCCTGCACGGTGTTCTGCAGTTTCCCAGTTGGTTTTGGCTCGTCGACCTGGCACCATCCTCCTGGTGGACAACAGAGGTGCTGGGAGCTGGGACTGTGTGCCTCAGTATCCCTCCCACAAAACAGCACAGCCACACTTTGGAGGGGCTGTGACACCTCTGGATGCAGCACAGCCTCCGACCTCAAGCAGAGCAAATCAAAAGGGAAGTTCCCCTTCTCAGACAAGGTCAGGGCACACCACCTAGATTGAACTCTGTAGAAAATAGTTAATTAATCTCTCTTGCCGTGGCCTAATTCTCTTTTCAACATGTGGCTGTCACTTCCCTGTCATCACAGCTGATTTACAATGGGGTTTAATTAAATCCTCTGTACATTATTCAGCATTCTCTGAAGACAACACCAAAGCAGCCAAGGGTATTTAAAATGTCACCTGCTGAGACGTATCATCTTCTTCTAAATAAATATGACAGTGATCAAACTTTGGCTAATTACGGTGACTTCGTTATTTGTTTGTATGTTTTAATATTTAATTGCTTTCGTGTTCATCCAATTACAAAGCAACAGCAAATAGAAATTAACTTTTTATCAGCGTGTTCCCAGCCCAGCTAATCAGCACTTCAAAGGCCAGGCACAATAGGAGGCCATCCAACCTGAGAGTGCTTTACAATATATTCTCTGCTGAATGGACCGTTCGATTAAATTAAGGCAGAATTGTGTTTGTCAGTGTATTCCCAGCTCCCACCCAGATTCCCTTTATGCGGTCGTTTATGGGCCTCGCTGTGGCATCCTTGCAGCAGGGCAGTAAATTGTTTGCATTGCTCCTGCCCTCATTCAAGCAGTGCCAGTTGCAGCCTGAGGTATTGGTGTTAGCTCTGCATCAGCAGAGGAATATCCCACTGCTATTGTGCTTGGACGTGCAATGGGTGCACCTGCACTGGCTCCTGTTGCTTCCCTGGGAGGTCAGCATCCATTCTAGCAACGAGCAAGGGAAAGCAGCAAAAAAACCCCAAACCTCGAGGGTGCATAACCATGACAGGGTGATTTTTGCCAGAGCAACCATTAAGGTTGGATAGACTGCTAAGGTCATCCATTCCAACTGTCAACCCATCTCTTCGTACCACTAATCACATCCCTCACTGTGATATCCACCCTTTTCTTGAGCATCTTCAGGGACTGTGACTCCACCACCTCCGTTGGCAGCCTGTGCCAATGCCTGACCAGTCTGACCACTGACCAGTAAACTACTTACATTGTCAGAAATATGATGTGGAAACAGAGAGGTTAAGCAAAGCTGGTTTGCCTCTGCATACCTCCTGTGAAGTGGAAACTTGCAGCAAAGAGTGATTTAGGGTCAAAGAAAACAGATAAATGGCACATCTGCCTAACATCAGGGAAGAAATACAGCCAGACAAGCACATGCATAAATGACCCACATTAAAGAGAATTGATCTGTGTTGTATCAGTCCTGCCTGCACTGCCTCATTATTATTGCTGCAAACAGCCAAGCCTTTTAGTTACCACAATAAAGGTCTGGACAAGAGACTGGGGGTTGTGCCACAAACAAACATGGCTTTCTAAGTAGCCTATGTAATAATGATAATAACAAAGTGTAATCTCCTCGTTTTAAAAATGAAACCGAACAAATGATGCACACATAAACCCAGGCCATGGTTAGAGGCATTCACAAATTCCAACATGATCTTCCAAACCTTGCCTCGCTGTCCCCTGGAGTTCATAGGAGATCTCTCAATGTAAGCATGAGGGATAGGGAAATCATGCGTTTGCACAACAGAAGACTGGAGCAGTTGTTAGGCTCCTTGTTGCGTGGGCCAACGTCCCTTAAGCAAGTAGTATGAGAAATGAAAGACTCAAAGAGCCATGGGCAACTACAGGTCCTCAGGGCAACAGGAGGTGCTGCAGCAATCACCATGCCTTGGTCTAATTTATTTATCCAGCACTACTGCAGTAAGAGCACTGGAAAAGAAAAGGATGACATAGACCTATTTCTCTAGGGAGGAAAGGGGTGGTTCATATTGGATATCTGGGACAATTTCTTCTCCAAAAGAGTGATGATGCAGTGGCACAGCTGCCCAGGGAGTGATGGAGTCCCCATTCCTGGTGGTGTTCCGGAACCATGGAGATGGGGCACTGAGGGATGGTCAGTGGGCATGGTGGGTTGGGTTGGGGATCTTACAGGTCTTCTCCAACATCAATGATTCGATGATTCTATTCTATGATTCTCTGTATCGCAGAAAGAACTCATCTTTATCCCTACAGCACTGGGGATCAGCGCCAGGGAGGCACCACCTCTATGAGAAGGCTGTGACACAGCTTTGCATAGGAATTCTCAGTGTGGGGAAAAATTATGCTGGGAAAAGGAATAAGAAAGTACTTTTATCAGATGTTTTTTATTAAAAAAACCCACCAAAACACAACATTTTCCCCACTGAGAAACAACTTTGCGGTTAATTTTAGGCTTATCTCATGAAATATTCAATGAACAAAGAAATGTGTTGGAAATACTTTGATTTTATTGAAATAAAATATTTAATTTGACCCAAAATGCTTTTTCAGTTTTATTGGATCTCCGAGACTGGTTTCATTTGAGAAATCAAACATTTCAGAGCTTTTCATGCAAACAGCAGATCTAAATCCAGCCCGGCTTCGATACCAACTTCTTCACCAAAGTGACTTTCAATGGCTTTTGTTGTCATAATTTTTCTCCTGCAAAGTGATAGCATTCATTAAAAGACAGGCAAACCAGGCTCACCCCAAAGAGGAAGCTGAATTACTTTGATGGGTCCTTTGAAAGAGCTGAGTGATGAGCACACTGGCAGCAATGCAGAGGTTTGGGCTGGGAGGAGAGGAGCCCAGAAGAAATGCAGAAATATGCGTATGAAGAAAAACAGAAACTTTCTGCTTTGATGAAAAAATCCAAGCATTTTGAAGTCTATGCACAAAGACTACAGCAAAATTTACTGCCAGTGACATGAGAAGGGGCAGCTAAGGAAAAATAAACTTCCAGCTGGAAAGACATGTTCGGCATCACAGAAAAGTCACATTTTTCTCAATAGAAAGAGGATGGGAAAAACCAGTTGAAAGGCTTCAAAATGTTTAATTCCAAACAGATTCTTGAGATACAGAGCTTTCAATCAGGAAACTGAAAAGCAAAAATATCCCATTTTTTCCTGGCTAGGACTAGGGCCATATTCACCATGGCTAGAAGCCATCACTGCGAAGGCCATAGGGAAACACGAAGAGCTGTTCTCATCCTACAGGACAGATGGGGACAGTGGCTTCACAGCACTGCTGGTCCCTACCTGACATGGCCATGACATGGCCATACATAAAAACACGCCACACCACTTCAGTTAATTCCCAGCAAAATCCTGTTTTGAATCACTTCAGTATCACTTGACAAAGAAACCGCTGGAGAAAGCTCTGAAGTCACCACGTATCGTCTTCCAGCACAGAGTTCTCCCATATACACACAGCTTGGAGGGAATCCATGTCCTCAGGCTTAAGCTAACTGCAAACCGAAACACAAAACCCCAGGCTCAGCCACCAAAGCCAGCTTGGACCAAACCAAAGGCTTCGGCTGGCGCAGCCCCTTCCCTCTGTGACTCGCTGGAATTTCAAATTATGATTTAACATCCCCATCTGGGCCAAGGACAGTACCGATATTATTATTATTGCTGTAGCTCAATCTTGAATGTTTTCCAGGGTGGCAAAGATTTCTCTCACTCAGTTTTATCGCTTAGTTCCTGCATTTTTCAGCTCTAATAAATAAGGTGACCAAGTCAAGGGCATATATCCGGATTTCTGAAGCTGCCATGTCATTGAAACCTACGAGATAATAACACGTATACTGGGGATAGCATGAGAACTGTTCCCCTTGGCTCTCCATTTCTTCATTCTTGGG